CCCCAAAACCCCAAAACCCCAAAACCCCACTACTATAAATTATTTGGTTGATTTATGATATTAAAAATTAGTTAGTATTAATTTTAGATTCCATTCTTGAACCTACATTGAGACTAAGATCTTTGAGTTACTATCAACTGTCTTTTCATCTTCTTTTATCTCTTTGATCGCCGTGATGCTTATGCCCACCTCCTCTTGGACTTGAATCTCCTCTGTTTCTGATATGTCTTGGTGAGCCAGAGCTACGAGGATAATCACCTCTTTTACCTCTATCATTTCTATCTCCTCTATCTCTGTGATCTTTTCTATTATCTCTACTGTCTTTATCTCTACTCATGCCTCCTCTTCCGTTTCTTCTTCTCTGCTCACCACTCCTCGATCTGGATCTTCTATCTCCAGAAGAATGAGATGATCCTCTATGTCTTGGTTTATAGCCTCCTCTTTAGTCGCCTTTGTGATGATGGTGCTTATCACTTCTACCACGATCCCTTGAATTACTTCTAGATTGATCATCATAGCCACCTCTTGATCCATAAGGAGGAATCATAGCTGGCTGACTATCAAAATTTTAGGAATTATATTGTTACATTTGGCCGGGATGTCCTTTCTGAGGAATAAAAGGATTCAACTTGGGTTCAGCAGTTTTTATATCAGCTTTTCTACCATTAATGGTAGTAACCAAAATATTTCTTATCAGATTTTAAGCAACATCTTCATCCTTAAAGCTTACAAAACCGAATCCTCTAGATTATCCAGTATAAATATCTTTCAGAATAATAGCATCAACTACTTCTCCATATTAGGAGAAATGCTATTTAAGTTCTTCAACTGTCAGTTTAAAGTCCAAGCCTCCCACAAAAATTTTAGTCTTAGGGTATTTAAAAGTTACATCCACATGTCCAGGGTCTTAGGCATTTGTCTTTGTCTCAGCAATCACATAAGGATTTGGCTTTTAAATCAGAGGATTTCCAGGGACGGCATTCAATTATTATTAAAGAGGATTTTATTTTCCTTGATAATCATCAGCTGACTTTACATCAACCTTTTTATCCAAAATGTAATGACCTCTATGATGATCTTTGTTCTAATTCAAAATTAAGTCCTTCATCTTTGCAGCTTCATCATCTTCTTTAAAGATGAGCCTAATAAAGCCGAACCCTCTGCCTCGGCCAGTGTTTTTATCTCTCATAACAATAGCATCACCAACCTAACCAAACTGAGAAAAATAGGCAAATAGATCTTGCTCTAAAAATAAATGAAAAATTTTAAATCATACCCATAGTTTAGAATTATAATCCACCAACAAACAATTTTATTTCATTCTTAGGCCCTTAAACTTAAAATGCGGCAGCGGAGCCACTTCCAGGAAACATGCTTGAAGGAGGGTAAGGCATCATATAAGGATTAAAAGCACCTCCAGCCATACCCATATCCATAGGTCCTCCCATCATGCCAGGGAACAAAACTCCCTAACCTGGATTCATCATTGGATTGGCAAAAGGCATGTTGTTCATCATTAACTAATTTTAGGCGGCTAAAAGTGCCGGATTTAAAAGAGGATTAGCATTAGCTTGAGCAACTGCAGTATTTGGATTTAGAGTTGCGGTACTTGTATTTGCAGATTAAAGCTAATTCAAACTTTAAACATTCTAATTATTAGTAGCACTACTATTATTACTATTCATACCAACAATCTAATCAACACTATTCTATTACTAAGTCAAACCTTTATTCTACTACTATTCATTCACTCTTTAATTTTATTATCCAATAGCCATGTTTCCATTAGTTGAAGAGGACTATGAAGTAGAGGTAGCCACAATTTATTAGAGTTTTTACAAATAACTTAGCACATCTGCGTGAGATGAGTTTCCATTACCTTAATTTTGTTATCCGTTTTGTTATTGATTAGGATCATGTACCATATTTGGTTAATTATAACCCATCGGATTACCTCCCATTAAGTTATTGTACTAGCCTGGCTAACCTCCAGGCATTCCTCCGAAAAGTCCAAACATCTGATTTTAGGCCGATCCACTGTTGGGATCTTGCATATTGTGAAAATCTTACCCATAATTGGCAGGGTTATAGCCTTGGTTTTGCATCATCGGGTTCTATGAAGTATAGTTTTCCATATTAAGTCACTCACACACAAATCTTTTAATAATTCAATTTTAAATTATAAGTAATAATCTAATAAGACTTTTATAATTAGGAATTATGAAAGTTAATGAGAAATTCTGAAGAAGCGTATTTGCAATATATTTGCTATTTTAGGGGGGTTTTGGGGTTTTGGGG